TTGCTGGCCCCACTGAATTGACATGGGCCCGCACAGTGGCAAAGCAGATCCCACTCGACTGGAAGATTGAAGCAGCAAAGGCGGACCAGGTCTCAAGAGGTCCAGCCTGGGATGCAAATGGCCCCAGTTGCCCTGCTTTTGCCCGGACTTGCCACGTGACCATGTCTGTGCGACTCTAAATGATTCTTGGAAGCCGGCACCAAAATTGCCAGCTCCACACGCGCGCAAGATTGTAGCAGCAGCAAGGCATCCAGGTGAGCCGCATCAGCGACCTCGAAACACATCCTTGAGGCCTACCAAAATAGAAACACAGAAAGGCGAACCTGTTGACACTAGTCCAGGAGGCGCGCCGAGGACGACGAGTCAACTCGTGTGCAGCCAAGCGTGGGCAGGCTCGGCCTGGCACAGCCGCGAGGAAGAGTCATCCGAAAACGGACACATGAATTCACATTGGCAACTACAGAAAAAGACGTTCCATGCTCCGCAAGCATACATCCTCCACGTCGTTACTTCCAAAAAAACTGTGCATGAAGGTGCTTCCCCCCCACAAAGATCCATTCAAATTATACTTGAGTCATTTCCATGGTTTGAAAGTGCCCTGTTCCTGAGAGCCTCACGCTGGCTTGGCAAAGTTCCGCGACGACAGAGGCAAGCCAGCTGATGCGAACGTGAAAACCTAGGGCAAACGTTCAAGGTGGCAATATTTGCATGTTCAGGTTCAAATCCGATTCAACTGGTCTGTGCGCAGCACTGGGGCAGCCAATCCCGGCTGAGCTGAGGATTGCAAAGACATCGAGAGTTCGGACCTCAAATACACATCTGGAACTGAATGATTGTCACAAAGAAATGACTGCTTCTCGTAATGCTATCCCAAACAGGAAGGACTGCTCAAGCACAAGCAATCAAGCACCGCCATCATCCAAGTGTCGTGTTCGACATGCTAGTTGCTGGCTAAATACCTAAGCAATCCTGCTGTTGATCGATCCTGAGTCCTCTGTGAGGTTCCAGCTGTGCAAGAGCGAGAACAAGCGGCGAAGACCCGCACCTAGACGTCCTGATCAAACTGCGAATCCAAAAACACCCGGTCACTTCCAACTGTGGCCTGTGGAGTAGATGTTGCTTTGTGCATCCAACATGCACATTCAACAAAAAGGGTTGCGCCTAACAAGACCGATGGTAACAAGATTTGCCACAGCTGCACACGCTGTCTGTAAGGCACTCTCGCAAGGATGCTCTCACACGTGCGCCCTGTGCAAGGGCGATCCGACGACTAAGTTTGCTGTGCAAGCTGCCACCACAAGTCTACTGTTGCGCAGCGCGCTCTGCTCAGGAACTCATGCTTTCCGCAAACATGCTTCCACTGGCTTGGTCCGCTTTGCAGAAGGCCCCCATGTAACACCAAGCGCGCCCTGTCAAGTATGCGCTGCGCAAACGTGTTCTGTGGAATGCAATCTGCAAAAGTCTGCTTTGTGTCAGCCCGAGCTAAAGCGTGCCCTGCGCAAGCATGCTACTATTTTTCTATCTGCCCTGCAACCTGCAGTTTAAGTTTGCTCTGCACAAGTGAGCTGTAGCTCTGTTGCGGCATGCTTGCTTCGTGTAAAATCTGCTCTGTGCGTGCGCGCCGTGCAGAAGCCGCAGCTTGAACCAAGAAAATCCTTTGAACTATTCTGCGAACACTGATGTTGCTGAAGGGATGTCAGAACCTTCTTCTCCTGCGCAGATTCATGATTTCACCCTGCAAGTACCAGTCCTCCGCAGGGGCAGCAGCAGCCCAAAGGAGACAAAGTCCAAAACAGAAGCCACAGCACCTTCATTCGCAGACACACAGCATGACAATAATGCCCCAAAATATGTAGGCAAGTCGACATTCTTGAGTCTCTGGTGCAAGCTGTTCTGTCAGGCCTAGCTAAGCAGGTCCACGTGGTGTCAGCGACAAGTCAAGCCTGGTTGAACAAGCAACAAAGCAGGAGTCACTCCGTCAGGATGGGATTGTTCCGGCTCAGCACCAGGCCCGGCAAAGTCCAATGCTGGAGCAAGGAGGCCTAACACATCCCCTAGTGTGATTTCTGTACTAATAGTGGTCAAGGAGAACCTAGTGCATGACCTCACTTACCTCTTTAAATCCAGATTACAGCACATACACCGATATACTTGACACGGGCGAGCCACACAATATAGTCAAAACTAAGCCCCCAGCCAGTGCGGCTAGAGCTTCTAGCTGCAGAAGCCTCTTCAAGTTGCGCTACTTGTCCGAGCAGAACGGAAAAGTCCAGGACCTTTGTATGGTGACTCGTTCGCCACCACTCCTCTCTCCTCTCTTTCTCTCGGTCTCTCTCTCCCTGCAAATCAGTGGTGGCCGACGGCCGTCCACACCCGAGGGAGAAAAGCGATGCACCCAGTCATGCCGACTGTCGAAGCAAAAAAAATGAGGAACCAAGCAGCACTGTAGCATGCCCTCAATCACCCGCAATTGCGCTTAATTCTGGCAGCCATCACTGTGCTCACACAATGATTACTGCATTTCGGGCGCCTGCCTGGCAACTGATTGTGAAAACAAACCCCGGGTTAAGGCGGAGGTTTTGTGAAGCTGCGGGCGAACCAAGCCTTGCAGCCCATTCTCTACTTGGCACACGCCGAGTGTGTGACTTCAGGAGCACGGAAACATCTCAGGCAGAAACATTAAAAAGTCCAAGGCAGAGGGCGAGCTATCGAAACGCGAAGCCCACTTGGCTGGCATGGTGGGAGCCCAATCAGGGCCCATCCTTGATGAGCACAGTTGACATGCTTGACTCTGTGCTGGCAAACATGAGATGGCAGCTCCTTGAGGGCTCTCCTAGGGCCGGTTTGGCAGCAGCAGACCCAGGCCAGCCACGTCTAAGGCAGCCAGTGCAGTGCCTGCATGTTAGGCGTGTCAGATCAAGTCAAACATGGACAAGTGCTGACGTCAGCGTGCCTACTCAGCAAAAACTTTGAATAGATACCGGAAGGTCAAGCCTCGGAAACTTGCGAAACTTATTCATGCTTCAGACAAGCTACGGCCTCAAGGGCCTCTTTGAATCTTCCAATAGGTTTTCAGGTTCCGTCTCATTACGAGTGCGGGCAGAGCAATGTCAAGATGGGCAGCGACTTAAATCCTGGCAAGAATGTTGGGTAGCATGTGGGCGGTGTGAGGAGAGCTGGGGAGAGAGGGAGAGAGCAGGCAATCTATCTATCTACCTATCTTATCTATGTATCCATCCATCCATCATATCTATCTACTGTCTATCTAGTCTATGTGTAGATCTATTTGCCTATGCATACGTCGATCTATAATCTTTCTTTTAGTTCATCTGTCTAGCTATATTGTATCTGCATTCGTATTTTCGTCAACGGGCTCCTGATCGCCGATTCCACCTGGAAACGGCGAAGCTTTCTGCACCTGCGGGGGGACAAAGCTAGTGGTTCTAGTAGAGGGGACAAGGGGGGGGGAGGAGGAAAAAGAAAGAGAGAAAGAGAGAGAGAGAGAGAGAGAGCGAGGGAGAGATCTGCATTGCTCCACAGTGGGGGACTCACTGCAGCTATCGCCGAAACATGTCCACTCTTCTGATCAAATGCCACTACCGGCACTTCTTTTACAACACGCGTATTGAAAGAATGTTAAGCGAATGAGTCTGCGCTTGAGCGATGCACATTGCGAGCTCTGCAAGGATAGGGAGGATGCCACTGCCGAAGCACCAGGCACAGACGATGGCAGGCCAAGGCCTTCAAAACACGCGCTCTCGGAAATGCGACATCAGCTGCTGCCCGAGGCAGCGGCGTGCGAAACTCCGCAGAAAGAGCGAGGCATCTGCATGGCCGGGATCCGGTGCCGGTAGCCTTGGAGCTGCGAGCAGGCAGTCAATGGTGTTCCAAAATTCGGTCCAAGTGGCAACAAGCCCACGCGAGCAGCCCCAGGAAAGGGCGAAGAAGCTCCGCAGCGGAATAATCCTTTTACGAGCAAGGCCAGGCCCATGCAGGAGAGGCCTCTGCAAGATGCATTTGTGTATTTGTGCTGCTTCACAACATGCTCCGCACGCGTACGTCCCGCCTTGCAAAGGCAAAGAGAGCCCTGGTGCTGCCTGGGCGACTCTGGTTTTTGTGCACTCAGGTCACCGACATACTTTCTGTCAGCTGTCACGAGGGAACCGCCAAGGCCCGAAGGCTGTCTTCTGCCAAATCTAAAGATAAGCTCTGAAGTTCCTAAGAAAAGCTATGCTCATAATACGCAGTCAAAAAATTGCTGTTTCCCACAGGGAACAGACTTTGTGAGTTCCCAATGCCTCTCCGTAAGTCATCAGTCACCGTAGACTGGGTAATGTACTGAAATGGTTGGTCAAAACCCCAATATCAACTGAGGGCCGCACAAATCCCAAAGCAGGCGCCGAAGTTTCAAGCCTGTTGGCTGAACGATCGTTCGATCATCATCGGCATCTACCGCGCTGTCTCGCCTTCCGAAGCTTCTGATCATCGAAAAGAAGTCAAGGTGGAGGAAGTCCAAAACAGCCAGGAACTGCTCAATGCGCATATAGCCTCAGAGCACACCTCTCATGGAAGCTGAGAGACCAAGCACGATAAAGCTTGAGAAAAGATGAATTAGACGCACCGTCAACAGAACAAGGGAAGAGCAGGAAGCAACAAGAACAGGAACCAACACACCAATAATGCAAAGCGTAAATTGACAGAACAGGGAACCAGCTAAAGCGTAATCTGCCAACCAGCTGGCCGAATGACCAGCCAAAAGATCGACCAGAGTCTATGAGCCAAAAGCTCATCAGCCGGACAGCAAGCCAAAGACATAGTTAATCTGAACGCGGAGTCCAAGTATGTCATGTCTGGCATCTACATTTGCCGCGTAGCCACTGGAAATGATTGTTCTGCTTGGTCACTGGCATTGCACAAAACAGCTACAGTATGTGCTCTGCGTTCTGTGCACAGTGTGTTTGTCAGAAAGAGGGAGGGAGAGAGGGATGGGGGGGAAGTGTTTATTCAAAGTCAGCGTTGAGCAGTTCGCCGTACATCCCTGCCCAGTCTGGCCAAATTTGCTGGCAAGGCTTCGCTGCCATGTCCGCCAAAGTTTCGTTCATCTTGCTTCCACTATGCAAACGAGTCTGCACACCTTCACAAAGCCGCTTCTTGATTCCCCCAAAAGAGTCGGGCACTCAATGTGCTGCTGCCATTTCTTAGGCGCCAGGCTCAAGACAGGTACATAGCCTGAGGCCGAACACCCGAAAGCCAAAGGCCGGCATGAGTGCGCCATTGCGAATGCCTCATTTGCGACCAAGCAGCCACTGACCTCCATGTTGCCAAGGACATTGCCGCCCGAGCTTCCTGCGTCGCATCGCAACCTGGGCTTGCCCCAAGTTGATGCTTGGACTTGGGCATCAGGACTTTGCCACCCTAGCAATTGACTTGGGACTGCGCGTTCCACCCAAACACGCGCAGTGGGTGGCAGATGCACCGAAACTGCCGTACCTGAAATACAAGAGATTGCCACTGGCAAGCAGAGTCAATCAGGTCAGTGCGACCCAATCTTAGAGCAACTTAGAGCCGTACGACACCTGATATGCGACTCCACCTCCATCGGTGAGTGAGGCCTGATGCGAGGAATCGTGGGCTACTCAGCAAATAGCGCGAAAACAATGCCGTCTGCTAGTAAGAGAGGCGGACTTTGTAAGTGCCAAAGTTGTAGAAGTCATACCTGCAACTTTCATCGCGCGAACTTCAAAGTGACAGTGAGAGCATACAATTTGTCTGAACGCTTGGATCATGGCTTGATGACATAGTCCGATGCCAAATTCTGCCCCATGTAGTAGTTGCAATTCCTCGGGGTCTGCTTGACGATAATCCGCGGACTTTGCTCACTCACCAGCATTCCCTTGGGCACTGGCGTGAGCGTGAGGGACATGTCCGCACCGGCGGTGGTTGTGTCCAGCTGAAAACCTGGATTAGCAAAAGAGGTCGCCAGGCTAAGCCTTCTTTCCAAGCGAGACAGCTTCACATGTTGGGCAGTATCGCGAATTGCAGGCAGTGGTGCTGAGGTCAAGCCTGAGATTCATTCACGGCTGATTCGGCAATGCAGAAAACCAAGCAAAGCGGAATTCTAAAAAAAATGCAGCTCTGCTAAGGGCTTCTCGCAATGGAGGTTCCAGATAAAGTGGCACACTCCGTGCTGGGCTCTGCGGAACCTCCGGGAACAGGGACTTTCACAGACCAACTGTCCTCACTTCATTGCCACCAGCATCAATCCACATTCAGCGGAACTCAGGGGCGGGCCGCTTGCTGTGACTTTGAGGACTTCTGGGGTATCTGCGCTGCATGCGAGCTCGCCATCCTGCGGATCTGGAACTTGAATTGCCAGAACGGTACTTGAACAGATGGGATCCTGTGCGACTCATGCGCTACATTCATCCTTCCCTCCACGCCCAGCCCTCAGATTTCCAAGGTCAGGCCTTGCACATACATGTCGTGGCAGCATCTCCTTGCCCCATTGGCCTAGCCAATAAGCAGAACTGCTTCGTTCCAGTGCGTGCTTGCAATTGAGCCATTCCAGCACCAAAGTGTTCAACGCGTCTCCGTTCAACGCGAAGAGCACAGTCTCTGGAAAAACAATCAAACCCCCAGCCATCCGAAGCTATACACCTCGTACCCCGTGAAGCCATGAGCAGACTCAAAGCCAAAGAACGAACATGATTGCTCCGGAAAAGCGAGTGCTTTCTTTGGAGACTGGAAATAGCGCCCAACAAGAATCCGGCCTGATGAAGTACTCTCGAGCACCGGCAGCACTTCCGTCTTTGACAAAAGCCGAGCCAAGTCCTTGACAGACGGACACGCGTGCTGCAGGAACATCTCAAAGCAAAGCCTGAGTCAATGCTGGCAAACGCAAGACTGGCGAGGCCAGTACCGGTATTGTAGAAGGTGTAGAGGAAAACTGCCTGGCGCCGCGCTCTTGATTCTTTACGCCTTGTGCCGCAGGTATCATGCGGAAAGCACGCCTGGCCCGTCAGCGCCACCCCATTAACATAGTGACAATTGGTAATTGTCAGGGTGATTGCCTCATCTCGGCACACTTCTGTCAACAAGAACTCGGCTTGAGGACTCCACGCTGCTGGATGTGTCAAGCTGGAAGCAGTTGGGGCATTGCCTCACGTGCTTAAACTTTAGCCACACTCCAGCTAGTCGCTGCGCAATAAGTGCGTGACTTCCCCCCGCAGCTTGCAAGGCTGTGGTCATCTGTGAGATCTGCAGATACCTTGGCCAAATTACGTGCCGCCTGCACCCCCTCCCCCACGTTTCTCCACATTTATCTTTCACCCTCCTGCATTCTCCTGCATACTTTGACCTTCTGCCGCCTGCTCTGCCTGCCAGCCTGTTGCCTGGCCTGCACACGACGCTTGCAACGTCTGTGATCGGCACAGTATAGCATCCTTCGATCTGATCGTCGACTGCAGGGTACCAGACCTGCGACAGCACAACTTTGAGTCA